CTGTCCTGGACCCTCTTATCTTTTCTACCATCTCTTACTTAGTGACTTCATCAGCTCTCATGGTGACTCATACTATAATACCCAGCTCTAGCTTCCCTCCTAAGCTCCAATCCAGTATAATCCACTGCCTTTTGGATATTTCAAATTCAGCATGTCCAAAGTAGAACTCACTATATTTTCTCCAAAACCCATCCTTCCTCTGAACTTCCTATTTCTCATCAGAGTACTGCCATCCTTCTAATCATCCAGCTTTTAAACCTTCATATCATCCTTGATTCCTTATTCTCAATCCTCATATCCATTCAGTTACCAAATCTCGACATTTCGACCTCTACAACATCTCCCACACCTGTCCCTTCCTCTCCACTCACCACCCTAGTACAGGTCTTCATCATCTTGTGTCTACTCTATTGAAATAGCTTCCTAATCAGTCTCTCTGTCTTGTCTTTCTCCATTCCACTCCACCCCATCCTCCACAAAGCTGCCAAAGTGATTTTCCTAAAGCACAGATCTAACCATGTCACCCCCTTACTCAATAAACTCCAAATGCTCCCTATTATTTGATCCTCAGGATCAATATACACCTCTGTGTTTGGTATTTTAGAAGTTCGGCACACCCTAAATTGGTCCTTCCTTTCCAGCCTTATTGTACATCACTCACTTCTACAAACTTTATGGTCCAGCCATATTGGCTGCTACTGACACATGACACTACTTCCCATTGCCTTTGTACTACTTGTCCCCCATTCTTGGAATGCTATCCTTTCTCCCCTCTGCCTCTTCAAATCTTTGGTTCCCTTTTAAACCTGGAGTATACTCTCCCTCAAACGCACACAATGTCAGTGCAAATAGCGAGGATACAGAATATACTGGTTGTAAGGCATACACATGGGGAACATATCCTGCCAGCCCAGCTCATGCCTCTGGCCTTGCAGAGCCCCCACGGCCATTCTCTTGGGCCCATCTTTAGGCAGCCACTGGTAAGCTGCTTTCTAATTCCATTGTTTACTTGGAAGAACTTCACTCCTCCTAAGGGAGTAACAAAGAGTATAGAATCTTAACACTTGATTGTCTCTCTTCTCCTTTCCTTTCTGTAATCATATCACTTGGGCTAGGGGGAAATAAATTAATCCAGGATTTCTTGATCAACTGTCACAACATCTATATAAACATGTATTTCCTTCATTAGAATGTAAGTTATTTGAAGGCAAGGACTGTTTCAATTTTATCTTTGTATCCTTAGTGCCTAGCACAATACCTGACATGCAGTGGGCACTTAATAAATGTTTGTTGATTGAAGAATACCTATTGTCCATCCTACGGTTTTCAATTGGATAGGCAGCCCATTTTTTGGGTACATCTGTACATTTCTCTTGGACTGACACTGCAAATGGGCATAAACTGGACACAGAATTCAAGAAAAAGAAGTAGTCTGAATTGTTCTACTCCTCAACCTTCTGAGCCATTAGGGACTGCCAGGCTTCCATGAAGTAGCCAGAGCAGTCACATGGCTAGTGTTACTGCAGCCTTAGACTCTATCAGCCAGGGACTCTGGCTGTCAGAGACCAGCCTACAGAGGTGAACAAGATCCTGGAGCAGAGATGAGGGCTGGAGGGTGAGAAGTCTTCAACTAGTCTTAAAACTAGTAGCTATTGAGAATCCTGTTGGTCAGTGAGGGAGGCAGGACTACTTTCTGTCACCAATCTACTTTCTCTTGGAATAGTCCTTGATCCAGACTTGGCATCCCAGACCACCCCCTTATCCCCGCCCCACTCACACACACACACACACCTTTTCTAATCCCTTTCCTTGGTCTGCAGGCATGTATGGTTCCAGAATTCTCTGACCACACCCAAAGAACTGAGAGGGTATGAAGGAGGAAGTTTGGGGAGATAGCTGGAATGGGTAGGTCTTATATAGGATAGATTAACCTTTTCACCTTCACCATATTCAATAAACGATGTGGTTACAGTACGTGAAGTGTCTGAGCCCTGTAAATGTGTGGGGTCATGACCATACGGAAATAATCCCGATCTAAGGTGGGGTTGGAGGTTCTGGATTTCATGTTCATGTTTCTGAGGACTATGTAGATTTCAATTCAGCCACTAGCAGCCACAAACCACGGTGCTAGGGGATGAGCCTGTGTTTGCAGGATGAGTACCCTCTGGTGGTCAGAGAGGATAATGTAGCCTTTTGGGAGGTTATCCCAAACATGAGCCAGAGAATAACTCAGATGATATTATACTCCCGAGCTGAATTTAAATATGCAATTACATATTATTATCCTGTAGGTTTAAAAGATTCAGCTCATAAGCCAATGTGGACTGCTGCCCACTATTGGTATTATATATAATGCTATTCTATTGCCCTTTTAAAATCTATTCTATTCCTTTTTCAGAAATAGCTTTCTAGGATTTTTCTAGTCACGAATCTCATCCTACCAAATGTCAGTGATAGCTTTAATTTACTTAATTTGAGCCACAGCTCAAAATTACTTCCTTATATTGAGGTATCTAGTTTAGCCTCTTTATAGCTCACTTTGTGAGCTGTATTATACACTGTGTATTGAATATAGATATCTGATGATCTTTACTACTGATTCTCTTCTTAGATACTGTCTGCTGTTGACTACTGTTTTCTCTCGTATGCTATTCTTCTTCCTGTACCGTATTTACTGCTTTCAATGGTAGCAAGCTTCTCAACTCTATGAGGGCAACTTTCTTCCTGTGACCACTTTTCAGTTTAAGATTTTTTTTGTCAGACTTATAAAACTCCTAGTGAATATATTTACTGGTCCTCAGGTGTACTCCATCTTTGGCCAGAAGCCTGTTATTCTTATATTTTAATCTATGGTCCAGAAATTCAAATCCAATTTTCCTATACCATCTTTTTAACCAGCTATTCACTTCCTAAATCTGCCTCTCTCTTCTGAAATCCTACCTTCAGTTGGTAGTTGAAAAATACTACAAGTGTTCCTAAAGTCTTTAATATTTTGCCTAGGACCACACAATAACTAGTGTAGCAATTCCTTTGACCTCAGTCTCCAGGTACATATCCTTGTTTTCTTTTCTTTCTTTTTAAAGTGAGGCAATTGGGGTTAAGTGACTTGCCCGGAGTCACACAGCTACACGGCTAGTAAGTATTAAGTGTCTGGTCTGAGACTGGATTTGAACTCAGGTCCTCCTGATTCCAGGGCCAGTGCTCTATCCACTGCCCCATCTAGCTGCCCTTACATATCCTTCTTGAGATTCTAGAGGTACCCCTGAGCAGTTGGAGTATCGTTTTCTAATGCTATTGGCCTACAGCCCCCATTCCCATGGGTTTCCTCTCTTTTACATGTCTGGATTAACACCCAGTTCCGTTTCATCAATTAACATTAATTGAAAGAGATATTTTCTTCTAAGATCATCTTATCTATCTAGCAGTGCCAACATTTCCCCCAACACCTGGGGGGCACCCTCTGCCATCATCTTGGTCTCTCGGGGAATGGGCCCAGACTTGACACAGTATTGGTCCCACTAAGTTCAAATCCAAATGTAGCATTGTTGCTGGATGATTCCATATCTGAATCAGGGCTGGGCTGAGTCCCAAAGGTCACTCTTTTCCTTGCTCCTGGGGACCTCAGTGCTGGACTGGCTGACTGCAAAACCAAGTGTAGATTATACTCCTGTACCTCCTATGGCTCTCCTTCCTGGCCTTTTGGAGGTATGTTCCCAGAGCATCGGAGAAATCTTATCTGTCAAATGAGCTGAAGAAGGAAATGGCAAGCCACGCCAGTATCGTTGCCAAGAAAACCCCAAGAGATGGACACAACTGAAAAAGCCTGAACATCCCAAACCATCTCCTCAACCCTTTCAAATTGCTTTGATTTTATTCCACTCTTTATAAAAGAAAAACGTTGGTGTGATTAATTCTGGTGTGGGTAGAGGTTAGGGAAGAGGTTTGGATCTCTAGAGGATAGGAGACAGCTGTTTCAGAAAGACTGAGGTATGTATGTGTGTGGAGGGGGGAGGTGAGGAAAGGCAGACACTGACTAAACACAATGGAGGCATATTTAGATCATACCCTTGGCCCCAGTACATGTTTCCATAAAGCAGAGAATATGTGTGAGTGTGTGTATATATATGCACATACACATGTATGCATGTATATATGTATATGTATACACATATATGTAGAATCATTCTCTGCTTTATGGAAACTATACTAAATAACTTTATAGAGGTATGAATTTCTGTAGAAGCATATATATAATATATACTATATGTGTGTATGAATGTATTATATATATATATATGTGCCTATATGTATATATATAGGCTTCTACACAGAGATCCAAACCTCTCCCTTAACCTTTGACCCACACCAGAAATATATATGTGTGTATATATGTATACAAATACATATTGGTTAGTTGTCCTTCATTCTCAAAGAAGACCAAAATGACATCACTATGTTACAGTCAAGTTACAGTGTGTCCAACTGTGACTGATCAGACCAATACAGGCTGGAGCGGGACATGTTCTACCACACATTAGGCACAAATAATTTATGTGAACATTTGAGGTGGATTCTCTACATTTGCACATCTTGTGTTTCTTTTGAACTACTTCAGTTCTGCTTTGCTCATAAAGCATAGCACCTTCTCTCAGGAGGGCATACCATGCTGGGTGGTCCTGTGCCAGTGTTTCCCATGTCACACAATCAATTCCAGAGGTCTTAAAGGAGACACTGGGAGTGTCCTGGTATCACTTCTTCGGACCACCATGAGAACGCTTGCCCCCTGTGAGTTCTCCATAACCTCTCCCTTAACCTTTGCCCACATCAGAAATACACACACACACACACAGAGTGTGCATATACATGGATACACACATATGAATATACATGTAAATATATACTATGTATGTTGTGTATTTCTTAGTAAATTACACCCTAAGGCAAAAACAAACAAACAAAAAACCAAGCCCTGACCGCTTGGAATGCCTTGGTAGGGGGAAGCAGTCAGCCCCCCAGCTTACTGCTTGCAAGTAGTACCATGCCAGGGGGAGACCACACAATTTCCACGTCTTCTTTATTAAGTGGGAGCCTCTCTGTTACCTCTTGACAGTAGCAAGAATAAGATCACTGGAGTGAATGAGAAATGATCAGGTGAATATCAGTAAAGGAAAGAGAGGTCCCCCTTTCTATGAATTTGGCTGAGAAAGGCAGGATCGATTTAAGAGAGTGGCTTGCGGGAATGTTAGGGTCCAATGAAGCCTTTTTTAAGGAGGGCAGCTGGGAAGGAGCCAGTGACTGGAGGAGGGGGAGGGAAGATCTGAGACAAGGTGATGAAATGCACTAGTCGAAAGTCGCCCGGTGCCAAACGCAATACTTTGACCGGCTGTGCACGGGGCAGAGAAAGGCGCTGGATCCAGACAGAGGAAGTGACCCTCTATGGGGCACTGAATGCCCATCACACGCAGCCCCGGGGAAAGAAAACAGCCTCAGACAGGCCTGCAGCAGCCCAGGAACCAGGGCGGCGGCTCGCAGCCAGAACCTACGTCAGCCAACCACGAAGGGCGGCGCAACAATGGGGCACCTGACAGCCAATCCTCGGCGAGCTCTCGGCCCCAGCTCGTCTCCGTCCAATGAAGTGCCCAAACGGCATGATCCTGCGCGATCGTCGCCCGCCTAGATTCCTGGCTGTCTTTTTGGCAGTTGGCTGTTGATTACTCCCGCAAAGAGTTTGAGAGCGGGGTCGAGGGGCAGGGCTTCGAGAGCGGCCCTATAAAGGCTGGGGCCGGCCTCCCATAACTCCTGCCCGGTCGCCTTTCTCCACCTTTGGCCTCCGGACCTAGGCCGGCGCATAGTCCCTTTTGCGATCACGCCTGCGCAGAGTGGGAGGGGGTTTGGTAGGGTGTGTGGAGGCGTGCCGGTAGACTCCCTTCCGGAGGGCCCTGCCGAGCCGCGCCTGCGCAGAGGTGCCTGGTCGGTTCCGCAGAAATGCAGTCCCTGCTGTCCCTGTGCGCTGTGCAGGTGACCCGACACCAGACTCTGGCGTGCCGGGCTCTGGCCTCCCTGCCTCGGGAGCTGTACCCGGCCTTATTCCAGGCCGCCTTCATGTATGGCAGAACGCTGGTGCTGCAGGCACTGGTGCAGACGTGGCCCTACCCATGCCTCAGCTTCCGGCAGCTGCTGCCCAAGCCCAAGCAGCTAGGCTGGCCCGAGCGGCCCCGCAAGGAGAGTGTCCAAGCCGTGATCCTGGCGCTGCTCGCAGCGCCGCGCAGGTAAGCCAAGCCGGGGCAAGGCGCTGGCATGGGGAAAGGGTGTGTTCTTTTGGGGCCCCTCCTATTCCAAGATGCTGTTCAAAGAGCCCTGTAAATTTCTGTCTAGTAGAGACGGGTGGCAGGCATGCATAAACACACCAGAAAGCCTGCTCTCTAGGGTCCGGAAAGACCAGGTCAGTGGGCTCTGTACACAAAAAGAGATTGCTGAATGAATGAACGAGTGGGACAAGAGGGATGCAATTTTGAAATTGCCTGGCACAGACGTCTTGTGCTAGCCCCTGGAGCCCTCCGTTTCAGACTCTGAAGGGCCAGGGTGTGATTTTGGGCTGCCCAATGGGGAATCACTTTTGCCAAGTATTTGTTGGTTGGGAAGTTTTTTACAAGCCTCTAATAATCTGGCTGGGGGGAGAACTGAGGTATTTCTGAGCATATTGTTTAAGAAGCTTGTCATTCCTGAGGCTGGGCTCATTCTTAACACATCTATTTGTGCTTTCCCAGCAGGGAATCTAGCAGCAGGTAGGTCCCTGGCCACATCCCTTTATCATGGGGTAGGCAAAGAAAAGGAGCCTGACCTGGAACTGCCAAACTAGGGACTGAACCAAGGCAGTTGGAGCCTGGAGCCTCAACCTGGAACCTCACCATCTTCCTCAAGGGCATCTATTCATCTCTTTTATTTGTCAAGGTCTTCTGGTTTGGAGAGGAAGTGAGGAAGATCTGACTTCCGTTCCCTTCCAGCTCTATAAGTATAATAATTAGCATTTTATGGAGCTTTAAGGTTTGAAAAGCACTTTACATACGTTAACTCATTTGATCCTCACAACAACCCTGTAAAGTAGGTGTTATTATTATCCCCATTTTTACAGATGAGGAAACTTAGGCAGGTAGAAATTAAGTTGACTGGAACAGGGTCACAAGGCTAGTAAGTATCTGGGGCATGATTAAAACCCAGATCTTCCTGATTCCAAGTTCTGAACTCCCTTCCCCAAAGACATAACAATCCATCTATAACTTAACATATGATGTGACGGATTAACTTTAGATGACAGTCTGGAAACAGGGTCCAGTTAGGTTGTAAGAGTCCATGGAGGCCAGTGGTAATAAAGGCCTAGACTTGGGTGGTGACAGTGGTTATGGAGGGGGTAGAGATTTTGCAGAAATAGAAACACTTAGGACCTGACAACTAATTACATGAGGAGTTGGGGAACTGGAGAGCAACACCATGGATTCACTGACAAAGGAATTTATTGGTTATTTATGCTGCCCTTGGGATGACTGAGGAGTGTCCACATTTCCTTATTTGGTTAAACTTTGTCTTTACTTCTGAGGCTTGGCTGGTTTTCACATACCTTCTTGGGATCTGGCTGTCAGGGTGGGGATGGAGAAAACTTTAAGGAAAGGAAAAAGGTAAGACTAAAACGGGTGGGGAATCTGTGGCCTCGAGGCCACATGTGGCCCTCTAGGTCCCCAAGTTTGGCCCTTTGACCTGACCCAAACTTCACAGAACAAATCCCCTTAATAAAAGGACCTAGGCGGCCACTGGTGGCCTTGAGGCCAAGGGTCCCCACCCCTGGACTAGAATCTTGAATGCAACAAAAGGCAGGCAAGATGTGACTGAAGATTGGGTCTGTGACTGACTAGGTATCTACACACCTAGACTGTGGTGGGAAAGAGTTTTAAGTATTGGGAGCAGGACCCTGAGCTAGAGATGTTTGGGGAAGAGGGCTAATTAGGTCTGGGGCCCAAAGTCCTCATCTTCCTCTGGGACATCTGCCAACCCTATTTTCCTAACCAGAGTGAGCTGTCCAGGTCATGGTCTCAGCCTTTCTCACCTTTCCTTGTAGGAGGCCTCAGCTTCGGGTGTTAGACATGACCGGCTTCCTGGATGCCAGCTGTGGGCAGGACCCCACAACCATGAGCATGTGGGCTCGCTCAGTGGCTGTGGCAAGGACCTGTCTCAGTGCCCAGACTCAGGCCAGAGCAGCTCAACGCTTAGCCAAGCGCCGCAAGCTGGAGCCTCAGGCTCCTGTCACTAATCCTGTGGAAGTGCACACTGACCTGCTGGTGAACCGAACTTCTTACAGTGTCCTGAAGGAGGCTCTCCAGACCAGTACTTGTGGCCCCCTTCGCCTTCGCTGCAGGGACCTTTGGGCTGAGGAACTGTCAGGTCCTAGCACTGTAGCTCTCTTGGAGCTGCTGGACCCAGTGTGCTTGCGCCAGGTAGACCTTCGCTTCAATAACCTGGGACTTTCAGGCCTGTGTACTGTCGTGCCCCACATGGCCAAGTTCACCCACCTGTTGAGCCTGAAGCTACAATACAGCAATGTGGATGTGCGGAGGCTCACAGCTGAGGCAGAAAACAGCTTCCAACACTTTGTTTCTGCAATTGGCCAGCTGAGGTGCCTCAAGGAACTCAACATGGGTTCCTCTAGACTCTCAGGGCGCCTTCATCAGCTCCTTAGGTGAGTCGGCCTAGGCCCCAAGCACTAGCCTGTTGATCAGGTGGGAGAGGCCCATGCCTCAGCCTTATATTGGTTCCTGATCAGGTCTACTTTCTAGGAGACAGGTGGTTAGTTGGCTTGGAGGCAGCTAGCTGGCTCTGTACTGGGCCTGGAGTCAGGAAGACCAGAGTTCAAAGACAGCCTCAGACACTTAATAGCTGTGTGACCTGGGGCAAGTCTCTTAACCTGTTTGCCTTAATCCCCTGGAGAAGGAAATGACAAACCACTCTAGTACTTTTGCCAGGAAAAACCTGTGGACACTATGGTCCCATAGGGTCGTGAAGAGTTGGACACAACTGAATAACAAATATCTTCTAGGTCTTTCTTGGGAAGGGGAAAAGCAGGATGCCTCCAAAGGGTCACGGGATGGGGGCTTAAATATTTTGGCCTTCTTGACCCCTGAATTCGAAGCAAAACAAGTTGGAGCTCAGAAAGTAGGGTTAAGGGAAGGTAGCAACTGCTATTTGATGGTGCCTGTGTTGCCTGGATTTTACTTGGCACTCCTCATGAGCACTTGGGCTCTTTTAGGATTAAAAACAACCCAAAGCAGAAGTTTTGGTGTTTGGAGGAGGGAGGAGGATGGTTAACACAGTAGGAAAGGGGCATCCCCAGGGTGGTATGGTTTGGGGAGATTGGATAGGAACAGAATAGATCCAGATACATATGGTCTAGAACTTGAGGGTTCAGCACAGCAGGAGGAGTTAAAATCATTAAGAGGAATGTTGGATGGCACAGGCCCTTTCCTCCTAAAGCTGTATTTCCCCTAGGACCAGTACCTGGCCTGGGGGCTCTAATCATGCTAGAGTGAGTATGAGAGTAGAAGGATTTAAGCCTGGCCTAGCCATGAGTGTCTGTGTATCTCAGCTTCTGTTCTAGAGCTCTCCATTGAAATGACCAGTGCCTATATCTCTTCTCTGCAGCAGCCTACAGGGCCCTCTGGAAAGCCTGGAACTTCCCTTCTGTGCCCTTCTCCCTGGGGACTTGAGTTATTTGGCCCAGAGCCCCCATGCCACCCATCTCAAGAAGCTGGACCTCAGTGGCAACAAACTATCTGGTGACTTCCTGGGCCCCTTTCAGAGACTACTGAGAGAAGCCTCAGCCTCCCTGCTATGTCTGGATGTGACAGAGTGCCAGCTCATGGATGTCCACCTTGTTAGCACCTTGCCTGCCCTACGCTGCTGTACCCACCTCCGCTACCTTGGTCTCTATGGTAACCCTCTTGCTAGTGCTGGAATGAAAACCTTGATTGAACACTCACAGACATTTCGTGAGCTCCAGCTGGTTGTATACCCAGTCCCTGTGGATTGCTATAAGGACCTGCCATGGCCACCCTCTTCAGCCAATCTCCTAGAGGGTACTGTGGATGAAGAGAAGCTTGCCAGCGTGCAAGCTGAGCTGCAGCAGTTAATACGGGCCACACAGCACCAAGATGTGCTATGGACTATGGACATCTATGGCCACAGCAGTTTTGACTACTTTAGCCTGTAGTATATGTATATTTATGGAGGGGAGGGGAGGGGTGGAGTGGGGAGGGGAGGGCAGGGAAAGTGTGGGGAGAAACAGTATTCTGCTTTGCTATATTGATGCAGGATCATCCCAAGGCAGTGAGTGCCTCCTCTGAGCTTTGGCAGAACCAGATATATACTCCTGGATGGGTTAAGGGGGTTATAGATTTTCTTTGCCTGTCCATGCTGGACATATTGGCAGAATTGCTCTAGGGCCTTTCTGGCTTTCAAAGAGATTTTTTTTTTCACCCTCTGCCTTCCTGGGGGTATTTATTTGTAATAAACTCCAGGACCCATGAGCTATTGCACAAAACCTGAACTTCTGGTCACTCCCCTAGTGTTCTTCCCCACTCCCCACCCCCCACCCTGTCAGTTCCCCCCACCTGTCACAGACGCTCACAGACCACAACACCAAAAATAAAGGCAATAGCAACGTAAAGGTCTCCTCTGTTACAAACAGTCCCACCGAACCCAGCCTCCCCTGTTCAGCATTCCGTCAGCCCTAACCCCACTTCCCTCACTTCCAACCCAGTGTGTCTGAGGGGCAGGGTAACTGATTTCCCTACTGCTTGGTGAGCCCATACCCTGAGAGCTAAGGACGATGGGGTGGGGGGGAACCTCCCCTGACCACCCTCATAGAAGCCAGGTATCTGAGTGGCGGGTACAATAGCAGGCCTGAAGTAATAAGGCGTGCAGTTCCTTATAGGCCTCCTCCCGCCAGTGAGGCAGCAAGGTCTGGTTATTGAGGACTCGAAGATTGGGGGTCCCACGGCACAGAAGTGTGTAGAGGCAGGCCCAGCGGCTTTGCAGGGCCAAGCGTGTGCGGCAGTTGAGGATGATTCCCCGGACTGTCTTCTTTACCCGAAGAGCTTTAAGTGCTGGCAGGTCAAGGTGACGGAAAACTAGGCCCCGGCTCTGGGACACATCCAGAGTTTCCAGGGATCGGGACTCAAGTGCATAGGATACACCCAGGTCCTTGACAGGCACAAGCACGTGCAGGACTAGGGTCTTAAGGTTAGGCAGTGCCTTGGTCAGTTCCTGCATGGTATCTGGACACACACCCTTGAAGCTCCAGAAATATTTGAGCTCCAGGGTGCGAAGCTGCTGGAAGCGGGTGAGCAGTGCCACTGATCGGGCAGACCAGTCAAAGGGTAGCTTGGCCCGGCTGAGGCGGGGTGCCCTGACCAGCAGCCTCTCCAGCAGCACCTGGAAGTTGTGGATCTGGTCCAGCTTGGTGAGGCTCACCTGGGTCATGCTGCACGTGCCCGGCGGGTAGAAGTCTGGCGGCTCCAGGTGCGTCAGGGTCCAGTTGAGCTCCAGGTCCCGCAGATCCCCGCAGTGGACGCCCTCCAGGAAGCCGGTGAGGAAATCGGCCCAGCGGGCGCCCTGGTCGGCCAGGTCGAAGCTGGCTCGGAGCCGCAGCAGGCTGGCCCCGCGGGCCATGAGGTGGTAGGCGTACTGGTGCACCCAGTCCTTCCAGCGCTCAAACTCTCGCGCCGACACCAGCACCACCTCCAGGCCCGACTGGAAGGCTCCGAGCCGCATGAAGTCGGCCGTGCGCCACAGGCGGGGCGTGCGCATCAGCTGGCTCCAGGCGCGGCACACCTCGGCCGCCGTGCACTTCTCCGCCTCCGTCAGGAACGAGAAGATGTGCAGCTGACAGTCCACGGGCAGCAGGCCGAAGGGGAAGGCGCTGCGCCCGCCGGCCCAGCCCTCCTCCCGCGGGGGAGCGCCGCCTCGCCGCCGCCGCTTCCGCGGCATCGCTCCAGCCGGGGCTCCCCGCGGCTCGGCGGGCTCCTGGGGCGGGGCATGGAGAGGGTGAGCGGAGCCGGGGGAGGCCAACGGCCCGCGGCCCCGCCCCCGCGCTGCCCCTTCCCAGGCCCCGCCCTCAGCGCGGCCCCGCCCCACGAGGCCAGGGCCCACCGTCCCACCTCCAGCCCAGCCCACCTCCGAGGGAGTCGACCCCACCGCTCAGCCCGGGCCCGCCTCACCACGGGAACACCGCGGCCAGCCCCTCCCTCCGGCCAGCCGGCCGGCCCTCCATCCCAGCTACCCCCTACCTGGCAGTTCCGGGCACGGGTAATGCCTTTTCTCTGTCGCGGCGCCAGCCTAGCGCGTCTCAGAAACCGCCAGAAGAGGGAGGAAGGAGCCAGGTTGGATCTCCTCAGGGGTCACCAGTCGGCGCGCGCACTCCGCTGTGACTTCGGAGCAGACGAGCTCGCAGCCTAGAGCGACACCTTCCCGCCCTCTTCTGACGGAAGTGACGTCAGCCGGAGACTAGGTCGTCTCTAAGGCTTGACGGGTTAGTACGAAGGGCCCCCTGGCGGGGTGGGGGGGGGGAAACTCGGGAGAGGGTGAGATCCTCGGGCTACTGTGGAGGTTATTCCCGCCCACCTGCCCACTTGGGCACCCTCGGCGAGTCTTTCGCTGGCTCCGGCTCAGAGTCGAGGCCGCTAGGGGGCGCTGTGGATAGAGCGCTGAGTCGGAAAGACTGGAGTTCAAATGCAGCCTGAGACGCTTGCATGACCTTATGGAAGTCACTTCACCTCTGTCAGCTTGGGGATATTAATCCCCACCTCGCAGGGTGATTGTGAGGATAAAATATTTGTAAAGCGCTTGGCACAAGGCCTGGCACGTAGTAGGTGCGAGATAACTACTTATTCCCATCACACCCCGTCCCCCCAATTTAGAGCTCATCTAGTCCAGTGAGGGGGCTGCTTCCTTTGAGAGGGACCCTTACCGAAGACCTTTCTAGTCCAGGGAACCCAGCACCTCCCTAGGCGGCTCCCATTGCTCTATTGAACGTGGCCTCAGCTTGCTTGTTGGTCAGGAAGCCTCTTTTTATGATAAGCCAGAGTCTGCTGCTGGCCACCCAGCGGTCCCTACCCTCCTCCCCCAACTACAGGTCTGTGCAGTCAGTCCCTAGGGTCCAGGGTAGCCTGCCCAGCCTGGGGATCCCACGGCCTCTGCACACGCTGTCTCTGCACCCCACCCACATTACGGTCTCTGCCCGCCCCGTCTGGTCTCTGCACACACAAGGTCTCTGCACGCCCCGTCTGGTCTCTGCATGCCCCATCTGGTCTCTGCACACACGAGGTCTCTGCACGCCCCTGGGCCCCCCCCCCCCCCCGGTCCAGCCCAGGTTCTCAGCAGTGGATTTCATAGGCAATCTGTGGCTGGAATAAGAGACCCTGCTCTTGGAGGGGCTCGGAGCTGGGGACCAGGCCCGGGCGGCCAGCGGCCGGCCCCTCCTCGGAATCCTCGTAGGTGGGGAAGAGGGGCTTGTTTCGGTTGATGACGAACATCTCATGGCCCCGCTCGTCCCGGTATTCCTCCAGCTGGGCGAAGGTTGTGGGGCCGTCGGAGTAGTCGTTGACGTACAGGACGCTCTCCTCCTGTTTGGCTTTTTTCCTTTTTCGGTGCTTTCTGCAGATCATGATGGTCAAGAGCAGGGCCGTGAGGGCCAGCAGGGAGATGCCGGCGGCTATGGCCGTCTGTGTGGCCGTGCCCAGGGCATGGAAGTCCATGCTGCCCGCCTCATACAGGGGCTCCCGGCTCACGGCTCCCGAAGCCGGGGCCGGGGGCCGGGGCGGCTGCTGCTGGGACAGGTTCACAAACAGGTGGAAGGGCACCCGGGTACTGCCCCCCGGATTGGTGGCCTCACACTCATATTTTCCAGCATGGGCCATGGTGATGTTGGTGAGGGAAAGCATCCCGCTCCCTGTGTCTGAGGCCAAGTGCTCCCCTAAACTTTCCTCACTCAACCCTGGGGCCCCACCCACCAACCGGACGCTGGCTCTCGGCAGCCCCATTCGGGACTGGGCCACCTTCCTCCAAGTGACCAGAGGCTGGGGGTACCCGGAGGCCTGACAGGAGACTCGCAAGTCATCCCCAAGCCGGGCCATCACCTCCAGTGGCTCCACGTGCACTGTGGGGGGAATGCAGATAAGGCTGTTGCCTGAGATGTCCAGGAGGCTCTGGTGGGCCAGGCGTGGGGGCTCGGAGCACACAATCTTCTTGTCCAGGGAGCTGAGGAGCCTCTGACCCCCTTCCTTGATCCAGGTCCCGAGCCAGTGCAGAGCGCAGTCACAGCGCCAAGGGTTCTCTGAAGAGAGAGGAGGGGAGTCAGTGAAGTTGCCTCCCCCACCCCCACATCCCCACACATACACAGGGTCCTCCCCGTGTCTTACTGCCACAAATTCATATCCTGTCCCCCCCAAAGCTTTTCCTGAATCGCCATCCTCTTCCTCCTCCTCCAAGACAAGTGTAAACCTCTCACCATTGACAAAAACAACAAAGCCAGGCTAGACCTGGGCCCTCCCCTACTCCTTGCCTCCAACTCCCAGACCATCTTCAGGCTTACCCCACCCCCACATCACTCTCTCTGGGACTGTCCTCGCTTTTTCCCCCTCTTGAAATACTCTTCTTTCCTTCTGTCTTTTTCCCAATCCCCTCCCTGCTCTAGGACTGCCTTTAGACTCACCCTGGCTGCACAAAACCCTCTCTCATATTGTCCTCAATAAATTGTCCTTCTCTGTCCTACGTGAACTAGGACACCCCAGTGCTGGATTGCCTGATTGTGGGATGAGGATTGGATTTACTGTGGAGGTTCCAAATTAAAGCCTGGGTCTGCACAGAGGTGAGCTGGGCAGTCACCCTGGCCCATGAGAGCCGAGGCTCACATCACAGCGAGGTCTGCTGGGGCCTTGATGGGAGTCAGGGGACTGAGCTGAGCCCTCCTTGGAAATCCCAATGTATATATGTATGACTGAGTCACATCTTAGCAAAGGAATAGATAGCATGGGAGAATTCAGTTGTTTATAAAAGGATAAAGAGTATTCATGAATTTGTTCTTTCATGGTAGACCAGAGACAGTTCTGCAGGCCCCTACTATCCTTTTAGTCTTCAGGGGACATTTGGTGTCAAAGCTGTAATTTAAGTCCAATAAAGGTTGGTGAATCTCAGTTTCCCTTTGGGGACCCAGCTCTGACATCCCCAGCAAAAAAGTGTGGTACATTGGATCTGGTCTGAGAAGCTGGGCTTGAGTCTAAGCTCTTCGCTACCTGCCTAACGTTGGATGAGTCACGTAACCCGGGTTTTGTCATTGGTAAAAATGGAGATATCAGGGCAGCTAGGTGGCACAGTGGATAGAGCACTGGCCCTGCAGTCAGGAGGACCTGAGTTCAAATCTGGCCTCAGACACATAACACTCACTAGCTGTGTGACCCTGGGCAAGTCACCTAATCCCACTGCCTAGCAAAATAACAAAAAACAAAACCATGGCGATATCACTCCAAAGGCTTAGTTTCTCCCTCTGTAAAAAGAGGGGCCTGGACTAGCTTATGGCTAAGCCCTATGGTCCAGCTCCAAATCTAATATTCTCTAACCTGCAGTGACTTCCTTCCCAGCGCTGTTGGGAGAGCTGTCCTTACTTTTCCCCTGAGTTACTAGCCAGTTTAGACTTGACTCCTTCCGTGTGTGCGTGTGATGTGATGGTCCTTCAGGGTGTGACTTGTGACCTCGATGTGTGTGAGGAAGGGCAGAGAGGATGCTTGGGCCCTGCTTTCTCCTCCTCTGCAGCTCTGCTCCTCCTGCCTGTAATAGGGTACCTGTGAGACGCAGCACCTGCAGGCTGGCCAGAGGGACCAGGGCATCCCGGCTGATGGTGCTCAGCTGGTTCTTGCTGAGGTCAAGCAGAGCCAGGGAGGAGAGGCCAGCCAGGGCCTGGTCTTCTAGCAGCTCAATACTGTTTTCCTGCAAATGCAGCTCCTGCAGTCTCTGAAATGGAGGGAGGGGCCACGGCAGGAGGGAAGATCAGCAAGGAAAGCACCCCCGAGATGGATAGTCTTTGCCAGCTCCACATTGCTTCCCCATCTCCTCCTTCCAAAGACTACATGGGGGTCACTGGCAGTCAGGGCGCTTGGGAAAGAGTTGGAGTTTCCCCCCTCTCACATCTGGGGACTAAGAAGGGCCTTTTTTGCTGCTCAGAACTGTGTGGCCTGAGTCAGCCGGCCTGGTCAACAGGCTGCAAGCCCTCTGAGGACTTGGACAGCAGGGTTTGGAGTCAGAGGATTGTGGTTTTAACCCTGGCACTGCCATTATGATCAGTGTGGCCTTGAGTAAGTTACTTAACCTCTCTAGGTTTCAGTTGCCTAATCTTTAAAGTGAGGAGGTTGACAGGATGGCCTCAGAGGTAGCTGTGTGCTCCTGAACATCAGTGATCTCCTCCCAGCACCCTCTAGTCTTCAGGGGCTCCTTCTGCCAACCAGGTAAAAATCAAGCTTCCTCCTAATGCTTTCTCACAGCTCGGTAGAGAAGACTGCAAGCACAAAAACTTGAATTCAAATCCTGCCTCAGACTGGTGATACTGGCAAGGCATTTGACCTCATCCTCAGTTTTGTTGTCTGTAGAATGGGGTTAGTGTTGTAGCCTATCTCCCAGGGTTATAATGAGAATGAAGTGAAACCACACGTAAAGAGCTATCCCAGTGCTAGTGAACAGTTAAGCATTTATCTGTTTATGCGTTGTATCCCCTCCAGAAGCCCGGGGTCTTTTCTCGTTTTATGTCCCCATTGCCTAGCGCCACCGTGGCTGGTGCTCCATCAGCCCTTGTCGGCAGGCTTGTTGGATTGGACAGGGAGGGCACTCAGGCACTGTGTGGCACCACCCCCCCCTTCCCAGCCTTGCCACACGCTCTCCCAGCACTGGCTGTCTCCAGCTTCTTTCCTCCCTCATCCTCCTCTCTTATGTTTCTGCTCATTTTTTATCCGCTTAACTCCAGTACCACTTTCCTTCTCAGTCAATAACAATTTTGCCCTTAGGCCTGACCTCGAGCTTTATTTCGTGCTTCTCTGGCTTACTTTTCCTGTGCTAATGTATATTACGCTTATCTGAGTCTTATTTCCTTATTAGACCATGAGTCCCATGAGGGTGGAGACACTGTCTTATTTTGACTCTGGATCTCCTTTAGAAATCAGTGGGCACTTAATAAAGCTGTGTAGAAATGGATGGAGTTGAATTCCTCTGGCTCTGGTTGGAGCAGTGGCTCACGGCATCCCCAAAGCCCTCCCCCTCATGCCATCCTCTTCCAAGCTGGGTTGGGCACCTGCAGAGGCTGCTCTGCCTCACTGCTGCCCTCTAGATGGGCAGGGATGATGGGTGGCCGGGAGGATGGGAACGGGGCAGGCCTCAGGCCTTTGGCAGAGTGGGGCCTGGCTGGAAAACCACAGGATGCTCACCGTCAGATGGCAGAAGGTGAAGTCGAGGAGCCGTGTGATCTGGTTCCCGGCCAGGTAGAGCACCCGCAGGTGGTCCAGGCCCTTGAAGAGGCTGCTGTTGAGCAGGTGGATGCGGTTGCGATTAAGGGCCAACTCCAGTAGTTGCTGTTGGTGGAGGAAGGCACCTGGCTCCAAGGCCCACAGGCTGTTGTTCTGCATGTAGAGGTACTGCAGGCCTGAGAGTGGGGCCAGGTCTGCCTGGTGAATCTGAGTAATGCTGTTGTCCTGCAGGAACACCGTCTGGGGAGGACACACACACACACGCACACACCAGAGTCACGTGTGGGAGCCCTGCTCAGGCTGGGAATGGGGAAGGGTGGCAGTCATTCAGTGTGACGCTCTGGGCCACAGGCTTCAGACCTCATCAGTGAAAGGAGGATAATTTCTGCATGATACAGCTCACAGGACTGTTGTGAGGAAAGCACTTTCCAATAGTCCTGTGGGAATGGGAGTTATTGCCCCGGGGTATTTCCCGGCTGGGTCCCACTTATTCCCCAGAGATCTCTGGGTCCGGTCTGGCCCAGCCCAGCCTAGCCCTTCCCTGGGGAGAGGAGGCTCTGGAGCTCCAGTCCTGTACCTGGGTGATGGGGGGAATCCCCGGCGGGACCTTCTGTAGGCTCAGCGAGCCGCACTCCACAGTCATACTGTAGCAGCGACAGGCGGTGGGGCAGCCCTGGCCCCTGAGCAGCAGGAGGCTCAGGATGGGGAGGAGGCTGGACAGCATGGACTCCCCCAAGGCCATCTTAGAGGAGCTGCCAAAGAGAACAGACAGGCTGTCCCCTCCCATCCCCTGGCCTGCCCTGGGGGCCAGCACCCTCACACACATATACAATCCATCCCCACCCCCCAGGGCGGGGAAAATCCTGGGCCCTTCTCCCATGCTGAACCCCTTTACCTGCTGTGGAGTGCTAAGCTTTCGGGCCTCTAGGTTGTGGTACATAGAGCGTGAGCCTGGGGTCAGGAATTTAAACTTGAGATCCAGTCTAGCCCCTGACCCTTCCAAGCTTTGTGACCCTGGACAAGTCACTTAACTTCATTTTTCACCTCTGTAAAATGGGCCTAATAACACCATCTTCTGCTTAGGGTTATCGTGAGTCTCCAGTGAGATAATATTGGTACAGTGCTGGGCCCGTAGTAGGTACTTAATAAATGCTTGTTCCCTTCCCCCTTCTGCTTCTCTTCTCACACCCAGCCCAGAGCAATTTCCCCTTTGGCTGCAGGCTGAACCCCACAGGTGAGGAGATACCCTCACTGTCAGGGAATAGAGTGATATTTGTAGCTAAAAGAGGTGTCACAGCATCTCATACAACCCACATAGAGTAGGAATCTTTATAATCTGACAAGGCCATTCCAGGTCCTGCTGAAGAACTGGGATTCTTCAAGATTCCCACAGGAACTCAAGGGTCTGGGGAGCCTGGGCAGTCAGGACCCGTGGGACGCGGCTCCGGGACTCATTCCCTGGTCTCCCTTCTCCCCTCGGCCACGGCTGGTGTTGCTGTGATTCCGTCCCTGTCTCTAGCACCATCGAGTCTAGATCTGCCACCTCCCATACCCTTCTTTTGAGGCAGCAATCTTTTCCCCAACCTCCATCCTTCTGTTTGAAGGTCAGAAAGCTTCTAGAGAAACAGATGATTTCCTTAGCTGCTGGAGATGCTTATATTCAGTGACTCCTGGGGCGGTAAAGAGGGCGAACTGAGTAGCAGGTGGATAGAATTTGCCAGATTCCAGCAGGAGGCTCCCCGGGCCACTGTGGGTCTGTACCTGGGCATTGTTTAAGCGCTTGCTAAGAGACTGGCCCCCATGATGAGAAGACTTTCAAAAGGAAGCTTGTGAGAAATGGGGAGTGAAGGAGGTAATGAAGGCACCTCCCTGAGGCACAGAAGGTTAGCGCTGAGATGATTTCTGGCCTCCTCTACTCACTGGGTGACTCAGGTCACAGCAGCTGAGCTCGCCCCAGCTCCCACCCCCATTTTTATAGGGCACTTCTGACTCCTTAGCCATATTTACAACCTGGGGGAGGGTAGGAGAGGAGAGAGATAGAGACACACAGAGACAGCAGTGTGTGAGAGAGGAGAGACAGAGAGAGAGAACAAGAGGAGAGAGTGATAATAATGATAACATTTATTTAACACCTATTACGTGCTAGGTGCTGTGCCAAATGTTTTACGATTGTTATCTTATCTGAGCCTCACAACAGCCCTGGGGAGTGGGTGCTATTATTATTATTTCCATTTTACAAATGAGGAAACTGAGGCAGAGCAGAGGCTGAGTGACATGCCCATGGTCACACAGCTGTCAAGTTCTGAGGCTGAATTTGAACTCGGGTCTTCCTAACTCCAGGAACTTCCTGGCACTCTACTCACTGTACCACTTAGCTACCCCTACAACCATGCTTTTCACCCCATTCCCCTCTGGCTCTAGAATGATTGGCAAATAGGATTGATAAGCCGATGGCCATGATCATACATAAACTGTGGGGAGTGGGAGCAGCACTGTAGGGTTAGAGAAGGACAAATATCCTTACCTACAAAAACCAGGGCCTAGCATAGAGGGATAAGGATAGGGACTGAACCTGGATTTCACTGGTATAAGGAACTTTAAAGTGAGGAAACTCCCTCCACTAATGCAGGTTCCTGACCTTTGTAGCTTAAAGAATTGCCTAGAACACTGAGGCTAAGGACTTAATCCAAGGTCACATAGTGTAAGAAGGGAGACTGGAACCCAGGTCTTCCCGTTTTTGAGAACGACTCTGTAACCTCTGTGCCACGTTGCCTGCCAAATAATACATAAAGAATGCATGCAGGTCGATTTTTTAAAAAGGGAATCGATCTTACTTACAACATCACTAATGTGAAAATATGTTTAATAGGAATGTATATGTATAGCCTATATCAGATTGTGCACCATCTTGGAGAGGGTGGTAGGGAGGGAGGGGAAGAAAAATTTTAAACTCAAAAGCTGATGGAAGTGATTGTTGATAAATCAAAAATTAATTAAAAAATAAAAAGCAAATTGAATCAGTCTGCAAACTTCAGGTCAATGAACTTGGTTTTGATTTGATAAAATTGTAGACCATATTATTAAAGGAGTAGTTAGTAAACATCTAGAAGAAGAAATGGTGATCACAGAGAGTGAGCACAGCTTTATCTGGTCAGGCCAAATTAACATTCCTTCTTCATACAGGATGTCCCAAAATTCCTAGTGCAGTCTCCACTTAAATGGCTTATCCATTAATGAGTTATTAGATTGCTAGGTTAAAGGAACACTGCAGACAAGATTTATCTATTTATTCTATAGAAGAAATCTGGTCTCTAATCACATTTCCTTTTGGTTTAAGTGAAATCCATGCATAGATATAAGCAAAATTAGGAGAAGAAACAAATTGTAGAAGAGGAAGAAATAAAATGCAGTTAAAAGATCATCAATTCAGAGCTGGACAGGACCTTGAAGTTCATCTAGTCTAATCCCCCTTGTTTTTATAAACAAGGAAATGGAGGGCTATAGAACTTAAGGCCCCATAGGTAGTAAGTAGCAGAGGCAGAATCTGAACCCAGGTCCTCAAACTCCAAGTCCAGAGGTCTTTCCACCGAACCCTGCTACCTCATCGGTCATCTTGCCCCCATCCACAGATCAAGAGAAATGTGTCTTCTACTTCTTCTGTGCCTAGTACATATTACAATGCATGTCTTAGATACTCAATAAATATTCCTTGAAGCGAATGACCCACTCTCTGGACTATTTATAACAAATGCTCAATCTCAGCCTAGGCCAGGATGAGGTCTGACCATTCAGTAGCTATGTGGCCTGTCTTATCATCTGATCTCTATGCAGCAGTCTGTAAAGTGGGCTTACCTAGATTTTAGTTAAGAATTTCAGAGAATCACAGAATTGGGAGTTAGAAGGGACCTTAGCAGCCATCTGGTCCAACTCCAGCCTGGAAGGAATCCTGACTATCATCCAGCCTCTGGCTGAAAGAACTCCAAGGAGGCCAAACCCATGACCCCTGGGGGCAGCTTGTTTCACTTTTGCCCAGATCCACGCATTAGGAAGCTGTCCCTGACATCAAGTCTGTATCTCTCACTTTGTAATTTCCACCCGATGCTGTTGGTTCCCCCTTCTTAGTGGCAGCCAGTCAAATACTCAGAGGCAGCTCTCCCGTCTTCTCCTTCTCCCTCCCCCCATATTGCCTTTTCCAGGCTGGTCTTCCTGTGACAAGAAGTTGAGGCCCTTTCCTATCCTGGCTGCCCTCCTCTGAACATTTTCCAACTTATCAACGTCCTTCTTAAACCCCGGCGCCCACAACCGAACACACCATTCCGGCTGCAGCCTGACCAGGGCAGAGGCCCCTGGGATCTTCAGCACCCTGGCCCTGTATAGTGTGCCTCCTTCACGGGACCCAACACACTGCTGACTCATTGACTGCTTGAAGTCTACTGAGATCCCCTGATCGTTTAAAGAACAACTCCTATTTCACCAAGCCACCCCATTCCATCTTGTACCTGTTAAGATGATTTTTAAGGGGGGGGGGGTACTTAAATGGAAGACTTTACATCAAGACTAAATTTTCCTTTTTGCAACGTGCATTTGAGACTCTATTGTCCAGTGTGTTAGCCAAGCTTTGTGTCATCTACAAATTTTATGAGCATGCCATCTATCCCTTTATCCAAATTAATGATTAAAATGTTAAATGAAGCCAAGCACAGATCCCTGGGGTGCTCCACTGCCTCTTCTGCCACTATGACATTGAACCATTAATAAGTCTGAGACTGGCTATCCAACCTGTTCTGAAGCCATTGAATTGTGTGATTGTCTAGTGCCTGTCTCTCTATCTGATCCACAAAAATATTGAAATACTTTATTGGAAGCTTTGCTAAAAATCCAGATAAACTATATCCAGTGCATTCCCTTCATCTCCTAGTTAAGTAATCCTGTCAAAAAAGGAAATGAGGTTAGTCCGGCATGACCCAGATTCCTGCCCATCTTCCTTCCCCACAGTACCCAGGCTGCATCTTCCCTTTCCCTCCACACCAGAGCCTTGTCAGGAGGTTAAATTACATGTGATTTGGGCCAAGAAGGAGCTGCAGCTGTCCAATTAGGCTAAACAGAGCCAGCCTGTCAGCAGGGAAGGGAGACCCTTCACAAACCCTCCAGTCTTCTCTTGACAGTCTATTTTCTTTGCTATCTCAGGCCTCCCCCTTACTTCTCTCTCATCCCCAGGCCTAGGCCCTAGAGCTTGTTTTCCTTGTTTCCTAGTTTTCCATGCTAAGGAGGCCCCAAAGAATATATGAACTCAACTTAAAGGTTCACGAAAAGGACTTCACTGTGTGTTGTTACTAGATTGAAGCATCATTAAAAAGGGGATTGGAAGCCACAGAAAAACTCCCAACATATTGCATTAAACTAGAGCAGGTTTAGACTATGGGAAGGTCTCAGACTAAAAACAAACAGGTAACATCCAAGGTGGAGAAAATCCTGAGCAGAGCAACTCAAATGTTTATGGTATAAAGGGTAGTTATTTGAGGATAGATTCAAAGGATATTGCGTCTACAGCTTGGAAATGGGATGGGATGGGCCTCTGTAAAGTCTGAGTACAAACCAGGAGGACACACCAGGCTTTTTACCATTTAGCCTCCAGCCCTGGCCTCTGGATGGATTCTGCCCTGCCTTCTATGCAGATGTCTCCCAAACTCCTCTTCTGAATCCTTAGCTCCAATCCTATATCAACGCTGTACAATCTACACCTGTTGTACATCTACACCTGGATGACCCATTAGCATCTCTAATTCAATACCTCCAAACAGGAACTCTTATCTTTTACTCTTTCTTCTCTGGGTTTTTTGTGACACTGTTCTTGGGCTTGTACCTATCTGACCACTCCTCAGTCTCCTTTGCTGGGGCACCATCCGAAAAATACCCAGTAATGACGGGGGCACTTAGAAGGCTCTGTCTGTTTCCTCCTCTCTTTTCTCTCTCAATCTCACGTGATTCCCAAGGGTTTAATAATCACCTCTATATAGAAGACTCCCAAATCTATGTATCCAACCCTAGTCTCTCTCTTGAGCTACAGTAACCCACCTCCACCTTCCTATTGGACATTTCAAACTGGATGTCTTAGAGGCATCTCAAACACACTATGTCCCAAACAGAACTCGCCATCTTTCTTCCTTTCTTCATTATTTCTGGAGGGAGCGCCATTATCCTTCCAGTCACCCAAGTCTGCAATCTTGACCTACATCCCTGACCCTAAAAATGCCAATTTTGTCATTTCTACCTTTACAACCTCTTTGACATCCATTCCCCTTCTTTCTCTTTATTTGTACAGCTACCAGCCTAGGTTGGCCCCTCATCACTTCTCAACATGGACTATGACATTGTTCTCCCTACCTCAAGTCACTTCCCACTCCAATCCAGCTTCCACACAAAATGATTTTGCTAAACCACAGTTTTGACCAAGTCATTCCCCTACTCATTGAATGTCAGTGGCTCCCTATAACTTTCAAGATCAAATATAAACTGCTCTGTTTGGCTTTGAAACAGTTTGTAATCTGGCTCCCAAACTACCTTTGCAGTCTTGTTATACATTTGTCCCCTTTCTGAACTCTCTGGTCCAGGCTAACCTTGCTGTTCCTCACACATGACAGACACTGTCTCCTGTCCCTGTGCCTCTGTGTAGGCTGTGCCCATCTCATTCGCTGTCTCCTTACCTTTGATGCCTTCAAAGCTCACCTCCAATGCTACCTTCTACATGAAGCCTTTCCTTACTGCCCCGCCCTGCCCACTCCCAGCCCAAATTATTTCATACACTTTTCGTATATGCGTACTATCCGTACCAACCCACAGTTGCTGTAGAGTAAAGGGGAAGGAGCTGAATCCTCCGGGTCTACACCTTTCTGCTCCCACTGGGCTTCTACCGTCCACCCCCCTCTTCTTTGGTCAGGGGGCCAGAATGGGGTGGGCTGGGGGAGGGAGCATGCTGGATATAAATAACAGTAAGCTCCTTTTAGCTGAGGGGCAAAAAGAAAAAGCCCTCCTAGTCCATTCTTTGCTTGGTTAGAGGGCTTACATAAAGATCAAAGTTCATTAATAAAATCGTCGCAGCCTGGAGACCCCGAGTTAATCCCTGACTGGCGGCCAGAGAGTCTGTGGTATTTTCACTTTCGTCATTTCACTTTTTCTCATGTCTGTGGATATAGGAGG